TCTGACCTCTGACCAGAACCTGCCATCAAGTTCAGCACTCCAGGGCTGCTTCTTCAGCTGCCATCTCCAAACATTTCAAACTCTTTCCACAAGCCAAATTCCAAAGGCTCCTGAACCACATAGCCAGATAATGCACAGTGATGACCCCACTTCCCTGCTAACAAAATTTATCTTACTTTTCTTGTTGCTGAGACAGAATACCTGACACCCAAAGTTAAGGAGGAAAGGTTTACTTCAGCTCACAATTTGTAAAGGATGTAGTCCACAGTCGGCTGGCTCCAAGGCAGGGCAACATAGCAGAGGGGTATCACAGAGGAGAAACAGTTCATGGTGTGACAAGCAGCAAACAGCCTTCTCTTTTATCCCATCCAGGCTACCAGCTTTTTGGGTGGTGCCACCCAGAACTATGCTAATTCCAATCAGTGGAATAATTTAGTGTCATACATCCTTAATCCCAGTATCACACACCCTAGATCCAGCCAGCTCTGAAACGCCCCACCTATGTACACATGAGGCTTTGGAGGGGAAATCTAGATACATGCCATAACAAACACTTAGAGGAAAATGGCAGGAAATGTTCAATGTTGAATTTGGCAATTAATTCCTCTGATATAACACCAAAAGCACAGAAAACGGAAGATAAGGTAACTTGGAATCCATCAATATGAAAAGCTTTCATGCATCAAAAGACAGGATCAACGGAGTGAAAAGGGAAGCTATGAAAATATCTGCAAATCATATATCTGATAAATAATTATTATCCAGAATATGTAAAGCACATCTACAGCTCAATAATAAAAAGACAACATAAAGATGAGCAAAGGACTTGAATAGAAATCTCTCTATAGATACAGAAATAACCAATAAGCAGATTTCAAAATCATTAATCTTTGATGAAAAGATAAGTGATAAATCCACCACAGCATCATGCGCTGCAGTCCCAGCACTTGGAAGGGTGAGATAAGAGGACAAACTTAAGCCCAGGTATTGGCGATAAACCTGGATAACGTAGTCAGACATCATCTCAAAGAAAGAGAGGAGGGTGGGGACAGAGGAAGAAGAATGATCACCAGTCATTATAGAAATATAAATTTAAACCAAAATGAAAACACTTCACACCCATTATGATGAATAATTCTTTTTTTTTTTTGGTACCGAGGATTGAACTCGGGTCCTCAGCTTGAGAGGCAGGCGGTGGAACCACTGAACTAAATCCCCGGCCCGATAAATAATATTTTTTAAAACAAATAATTGCTAGCCAGGATGGAGAAAAACTAGACCCTGGGCATTGCTGATGGTGTAGCCACTATGAAAAGAAATATGGCAGTTCCTCAAAATATTAAGCAGAATGCCAAATGCATTTCTAAGTATACGTCCCAGAGAACTAAAAGCAGGAACCTGAACAGATAGCTATATGTACACCAATGTTTGTAGCAGCATTGTTCACAACAGCAAATGTCCATTGGAAGATGAATAGATAAGCAAAATGTAGTATATACACACAATTACAGATACTCAGCCTTCATTAAGGAATGAAATTCTGACTGTGGATGAATCTTGAAGAGCCAGATGAAATAAGCCAGACACCAAATAACAAACATTGTATGATTCCATTTCTATAAGACATCTCCCCCCCCCCATTAGGTTTATTGGTACATTTTAGGTATAAAATACAGTTACATTCATCATTGGGATCTTGTACCGTTACATGAGTCTCTTGGTTCTTATTTTTTTTCCCCTTCCCATGCCCTCCCTTCACCCCTCCACCCTTCCCTATTTGCAAAGACCTTGTTTCCATTTTTTTCCTCTTCTCATATTTTTTCCTTTCCCTTTTTCCCCTTCCCCTACCCCTCCCAATTTCCCTGCTCTTTTAGACCTTTTCTTCCTGTAACACAATATCAGTTATACATTTTTAAAATTACAATATTAAGATCTAGGAGACATTACTACATATTTTACAGAATTTAAAAGGATATAGAAAGCATATTACAAAAATCTTTTTTGAAATAAATTTGACAACTTCTAAGAAGTAACTTAGAAGACAAATTAATGAAACTAACTCTGAAGGAAATATCAAATTTGAATAGCACCTATTAAAGAATGTATATTCCTAGCTTGAAAACTTACCTATATGACAACAGCAGGCTCATAAACATTTGAACTGATAAATTATATCAAACATTTAAAGCAGAAAAAAAGAAGGAACACTTCTCCCCTCGTTTTAGGAACTCAACATTGTGCTAATCCTAAAACTGGATAAAGATAATAGAAGAAAAAGTATGAACATAGATAGAAATTTGTTTAACAAAACCAACTCTTAGAAGTCAGATCTGGCAGTATGTGGAAAGTGGTTTTTTTATAGGGATGGCAGTGTTGGTTCAGCATTGGAAGATCTACACCCAAAAGTAATCATTTTAACAGAGGAAAGGAGAAAGCCATATGATCCTGTCACTAGTTGGAGAAAGAGTATTGGACTAAATTCTACAGCTGTTCACGGTAAAAGCTATCAGGAGACTAGAAGTAGAATAGAATCTATAAGGCATCTTGAATGGTCAAATTCACAGAGGAAGAAAGTAAAATATTGGTTACCTATAGTTACGGGAGAAGAAAATGAGTTATTACTTAGTAGATACGGTGTTTATGTTTGGAACTATGATGAAAATGTTTTGGAAGAATGTAGTGATATTTATACAACATTGTGAATCTACTTAATTGCATTGAATTATACACTTAAAAATGATTAAAATGGTAAATTTTATAATATTTACATTTTACCACAATAAAAAAGAAGAAACAAATTATTCATTGTTTAAACAATATAAAAGTTAAAAATTCAGAAAAAATTTAAAGATAAAGAATCACTCATAGCAGTAAGTCCCTTCATCTGCCTGTATCCTGAAACCTAGTTAGACATTGGTGAGGACACTATGTGCAGAGGCGCTGATTCTGGGGATCCTCTGCCCATGCTCATCCCCTCAGCAAGAGGCCTCCTCCCGCTAATGTGTGCTGTTATCCCCCTGAACAGTGCCCATCCTGCCAGCCTTCCTCAGAGGTACAGGACCTTATCCCTTGCTGCCAGGTCACCTCTGATGAGGGGCTGCACACAGTCACAAACTGGACCCATAATGCAGTTCACACCTCCAGCGCCAGAGGACTGGCTCCTTTGTGATCACAATCAAGGAAAATCTGCTGAATTCATGGAGAAAGGAAGGGTTAAAGCCAGCACCAGAAAAGAAAATGGTTACAGCCAAGTCTTGAAATATAAATGAGAAATCTGTCAGTGTACTATGAAAACAACAGTTTACGTTTGATGTTTCAGAAAAATTATTCCATAAAACCAGCAAGGGGATTGATTGATTGATTGATTGATTTTGTAGCATTGGGATTGCACACAGGATGCTTACACTAAGCTACATCCCCAGCTCCCTCCCCGTATTTTGACAGGGTCTTGCTAAACTGCCCAGGCTGGGTTCAAACTTGAGATCCTCATGCCTCAGCCTCCCAGGAGTGCTGGGATTGTAAGCATGTGCAACTACTTCCAGCTTTAAACTGGGAAATTTTGATGTGAAAGGTCATTCCAAGGGCCTTGGAAAAGATCTGATTCTATGTTTTTGGTAAAGAAAAAAATTCAAATTTGTATTTTCCTGTTATTCAAAAGTAAGAAAGTTTTAAAACTCCGTGAAAGGACAAAGCATATGGCTTAAGAATTTAAAAAGGTGACAATTTCAGCAAAGAAAAAAAGCAATTGTTACTCATTAGGAGATGAATACATAATTATCTCATTATTTTATAAGAGACATAAGAAGTCCTTAAATGCAAGAGAAGGGAGACCACAGTAAGAGGCTGATGTTCATGAATTAACAGGACTCCACTGAGGACTGAATCCTATCCCTGGATTCCGGCCTTGTGGCAAGTAGGCAGGGCTCCACCTTTGCTTATACCTATAGGTCCGCGGGGGTGGTGAACCTGTGGCACACGGGCCACCAGCAGGCTGTTTGTGTCACTGAAAGCTCTAAAAGGTTCAGCTTCATTGCATCGTGGAAGACCATGCAGGAAAACCTGCCTTCCAGAACTTCCAGAAGACCCCGCTCTCTAGCAACAACACAGGGTGTGTGTGTGTGTGTGTGTGTGTGTGTGTGTGTGTGTGTGTGTATGGCGGGCAGGTAGCTCAAGGAAGGGTGCTGGGTCCTCCTGGCTAGGGAAGGAGGCTCCAGTGCGAGAGGTCTCTAGATTATTGTCAAACTGAACCAAATCAGTCCACACCAAGGGAAGCAGCATCTTTCGTCAAGGGATTTGTTTGTTAAATAGGGGTAGGGAGAGAGCCTCCAGTCTCAAGGAAAGACATGGCCTTGTCACCACGGAAACCCTGCTCTCCTTTGTGCCTCAGCCCACGCCCTTGCTGGCGACCTCTGTGTCCACCCTTCCTGCCCACCTCACCTTTGCTTCCAGCCCTCTGTGGGGCTCAGCTCTTCCCTGGCACTCACCCTCTGCGACCCTGAATTATTCCGTAATTTGTCCCTGCCCCAACCCAGTCCTGGGCACTGGACCCTGTGTTTCCCTTGTCCTCAGCTCTGCCGCGAGGGAGCCCCATAGCATTCCTGCTCCTCCTGCAGCCTGGTACAGTGCCAGCAGACCCCACGCAGTAAGTACTTGTAGGGAAAGTGACTCTTTCACTCCCATTAATAATATAATCAGGTCCAGGAAAGGCATGAAAAGAAGGCTCTCCCTTGTCTCCCAGGCTGGCTCGCCCCTTTGGCCCCCGCTCCGAATCCTCGGTAACACCCTGGCTCCAGCTGCATAGGAAGGGACTAGCACCTGTCCCCTCCAGGGAGCTGAGACCGTACCGCGGGGAGGTGACTGGGCCCGGGGGAGGCAAAGCCACAGCCGGCTGGGTGCAGAGGTAGAGGTGGGGGTAGACCCGCGAGACTCACACAAAGCGAGCGGGCGAGGCCCCGCGCGCGCGCGCGCGCACACACGGTCTCGCAGCCCCGCCCCGCCTCGGCTGTGCGCCTCCGCCCGCGCTGCTGCAGAGCCCCAGCAGGTGCGCCCGCGCCGGGCGCTGCCCGTGGTGCTAAGCGCACGGCTCGGCTCGCTCACCGCGACCAGCCGGGTCACAGCCGAGCCCTGCGACACTGCGGGGACCCAGGGGTAAGTTAACGAGGCCCTGAGCGGCCAGGCCAGCCCCTTCCCCGAGGGTATGGATTTGGGGAAGAAGAAGAAGAAGAAGAAGAGAGGATGATGTGGGAATTCTTGTGCGTTCTCCTGCGATGGGCGGGCTGAGTTTAAGGACCTCGGTGCAGGGGTGGGGTGGGATGGGGCTGTGAGGGGCTTCTCAACGTGATAGTTCTGGTTTGGGACTTGAAGTCTGAAGGCGGTGACCCTTTTAGGCTGGGCTAGGGAATGGAAAATCCTCCCACCTCGGACGCGCGGCCTGGGGAAGAATGAATAAGGTCGTAGAGGCCCATCTTCTTTTGACTGGGCAGGTGAGGAACACCCAAGGGCTCCCTCAGCGAAGATGGGCCCCCTTCGCTCCCCAAAGGGCCCTTTGTCTCCCCAACGTGGGGGTGGGGTGGGTGGGTAATGTTCTTCACCCCAGATTCTATTTCTGCTTTGTACCCTGCCCCCACCCCAGAACACAGGCTCTTTCCTGTTGGCACGGCAACACTCCGCCCCTCCAAAGGCAGCCTGTTAAAGAGATAAAGTCTTGCTCTAGCCTAGACCCCCACCTCAGTTTCCAGGAAGCTCCTCTCCTAGGCCCTTGCTTCCTGTCACTGTACACCTCCTTGTACTTCATGGTTGACATTCCTAGATATTGAGGGCTGGATAAAGCAAATGCCAAAGCTACTACCCAAATATTTTACGTCTCAAAACGTTTCTGCTGCATGTATGTTCCTTCAAGGTTTTTATTTTGCTCCATAAAATCAAACACCCAATCATCTCCATATTTAAAAAGAAAAGAAAGGCACACCATTACCTTCTCAAAGGAAAAAGGAAAGCCTAGACTGGAGAGCTAAAGTTAGTCATCATGTAGAAACAGAGCCAGTAAAATGACCCCAAATGTGCTCGATCTGCAATAAATCTATGTTCACGTGCATGCTATGTGTTGATTACAAACGTGAAAGTCTCCATCACCATCTTCTCTCTACTAAACTCTGGTCTGGCTGCTAACCCACCCCCTTACCTCCTCCTTTAACCCAAATTTTCATTTCATCTGCAGCTGGAGACACTTGTGAAAGTTAAAAATTGCTTGTTCCATTTGTTCTTGAGGGCTGGCTCCTTATGGTTCACAAGATAAAGGCTTGGGCCCTTCTAAAACCTCAGGCCTGGTGTGGTCTACCTGGTCAGTCTGTTGGCCTCATTCCACTGGTCTGTTGCTCTGGTCACTGTGGCCACCTTCAGATCTTTTCCTCAGGGTTTGTTTTCATGGTGTTCCTTCTGACTGAAATAGGCTTCCTGAGTCTTTTGCCTGGTTGTCTTCTACTGTCTTCTAGCTTTGGTTTAAATATCACTCCTTAAAAAAGAATTGATTAAATGGATACAATGTGTGGTCTCTGCTCTCAAGGAATTTACAAGTTTATTTTAGAAATGAGAGACTTAGCCCAGAGCTTTTGTTGTCACTGAGACCCATCTTAGAAAATGAGACAAATAAACTGTTTGTAGAATTTAAAATTCTAGACCCAGCATCCTGTTTATGAAACTTGGATGTAAAAAAAATGAATAGGGTGTCTCAAATACAAAGTATTTCATCTAAATAAGTAATTCTCAATGTAGTACAGTTGAAGTCCTGGGCTTTAAAATTTTTTCAGTCTCACTGGGGAGCAAGAACAAGAAAGAGAATGAATAATTGGTGGTTGCTGAACACTGCAGACAAGAAGGAAGGGGGACAGACTACTTCTCTTTTAGGGGAGAGATGTGGCGCAGAAGGACCTGTCATGCTTGGGTCTGAGTTTCCACTGAAGGATCTTTAGCCACAGGGTTACAAAGCATAGTGTGCATTTCTGCAACTGAGAACCTACACACATCTGGCCTACTCCCCTCAGGCAGTGACAGTGCCAGCATCTGACTGTCCACATAAATCCCGTTCTGTCCCTGAGAACTGTCATTGAAGGTGACTGCTCAGATTGCCTCCTGCTAGGCTACAGGCCCTCCACCCACCCAGGAGTTTTCACCTACATAGCATACAATCTATACACATCTCCAAAGAGACAGGATTGATAAATATTGTAAAGTAGAAATTGACTACAGGGTGGAGAACATGTGATTGCTATAGTATTGATGTCTCCAGTTCATTGTTCTGTCTATGCACAGAGTGCTAAATAAACTCAGAAGTAGAGTTGGTAACACTGGTGACTCTGAGTCCAGTCATTTATAACAATGGTAGCTATTTTAAGGGATCATTTTCCGAGTTCACAGTGATTGAAATTTCCAGGTGCTCATGATTTTAGATCAGTTGATTATTCTGTCAAATCATTTTAGTTCTTGCAGTTGCAGAATTTTGCACACAGTAAAATAATCTTTACTTTGGCCTGGTTGAGATTATTTCCAAGGATGATCAAAAAAGTTTTTCAGAACACAAAAAAGATAAGTGAAATAGAGATACCAAAATGAATGTCTCCAAAATTCTTGTCCTTCATAAAATTACAGACCAAGCATCTGCCTAGTTGGGTGAATGCGACTGAGACTCAAGTCTGGGTAGTCTGGTACCAAAGACCAAGTAGTAAGCATTATGCAGTGTGTGGGAGGCCTTATCTAGGCTGCAAAGGAATGTATGCAGTAGAAATGGTGCCTGCAGGTGCAGGCTGGGAAAGGCTTGGGCACATGCCATCTGGCAGCCACAGAAAAGTCAGTATGTCAGCCTGAGGCACTGTCCCAATCTGGGGTGAATCACCAGGGCTGCTACTGAAGCTGAGTCCAGATTCTGCAGCTGTCTTGAGCCCCCCACTCCTTCTCTTCTCCAGCCAAGAGTCACAGGTGCCACTTGTATGGAAGGAAGCGCTACCCACAGGTAGGAATGGGTGGAGGTCCCTGCAATGACAGCTTTACCAACCTGCCTGTGAAGCAGGCCCTCTGCCCACCTGGGTCCTTATGTGACATTTCAGAGACTTTCATACTGACCCTGTACTTGTCAAGCAACTATTAGGTAGTATTGTGAGGCTTCCTCAGGGGTGGGCCTGCAAGGCAAGTAGGCTGACAGAGCCACTTGTTTTCTGCGTGCTGTGGGGCCCCTCATAGGTGGAGGCGGTGAGTGAAGGTAGGGGATGCCCCCAGAGCAGTCCTCCTGGTTAACCAAAGGAACTGGCCACAACCCATCTCCTCCAGTCTCTCCTTGGCCAGAGTGACACAGGACAGCCCTCAGACTACTCAACTGCTGAGGAAAGGGGACAGAGGAGAAGTGGCAGGCAGGGAGCATTGCAGTGTTCAGGGTGAAAGGAGGGGCTGTGTGGAACGCTGCCAGTGAGAACTCAGGAGATTCTCAGAGGAGGCTTTTTGGCTTTCTGCTCTCTCACTGGGTTTCCTAGGACCTCTAAACTTACGCCGAGGGCAGCATGGTTAAACTAGACCCTTGCTCCTCTCTTCCAAATCAGCTCCCAGTGCAGGCCCATCCCTGCCTCACTTTCCTCCTGCCATCCTTCTTCTGGACTTTTCCAACCATCTTCAGTCCCACTCTCTTGACATGAATCCAAACTCTCCACATCCAGGACCCAGTGCTTGCTTCTTTTTCTTCTCATGGTTACTAAATCCTAGTGTTTGCCCCCTAGGGAGACCTTGTAACTTTACCACCAACATGATATCTGCCTTACTGCCCATCCTCAGCCCGTTTGAATTTCCTCTCCTCTTTTATTCTTCCTTGTACCCAACTGTCAGATGCGCTAGTCCCCTTAATGCCCCTGCTTCCACCCACACATCAGCAAGACTGCCATATTGCTTCACTGACCCCAGGATAAGGCCAGATGCCCCAGCTGTGCCAGGACAATCAAGTTGTCTTGATTTTTGTGTTACCAAGCCCACTCCCACACTCAAGGTAGACCCCAGTGCCTTTCCCATGGAACTTAACCTGGACATCAGAAATCTCTGTATGGCATTCCAGGAGTCAGTATCTATCAGCGATGTGGGCACAGGCACAGCTGCCTGCCCTTCTGGCCTGTGATATTCTGTGTCCCAGTCTTCCTGCACCAGTACCCATTCTGCTTTCCACCATGAGGTTCTCTTTTCTCTGTACCTTCAAGCTCTGCATGCACTGTATTAGATGCTGAAGTGCATCTCATTTGATGGACTCTCTGTAGATCGAGCCTTGCCTCCCCCAGCAAACATCTAGTCCTGGACTGCAATGAGTACCACTTACCCCTATGGATGTTTGGCTGCTTCAGGCCTGGGAAGCAGACAAGAATGGAGTTCCCAGGCCAGGGATTTAGCTCAGTGGTGCCGCCATCTGCCTCAAAAGCACAAGGTCCTAAATTCAACCCCAGGTACCAAAAAAGGAAAAGAATGGAGTTCCTGTTAGCTCTGTCTCCTACTGCAGCTTACTAAATTGGATTGTCTGCTCCATCCACTCAGAAGGCCCATGATATGTCCCTTCTAAGGAGGTGATGGGGGTAAACTGAGATGCTATTGGTCCATAACTGGCCTGCAGATAGGAGTCTGAATTGACTAGTGAGAGGATGCTTGGATGAGTCACAAGCTCAGGGACAAAGCACTAACCAGGGCCCCCAGTCAGCTCTCATTTTGGTTTCTTCTGTGTGCTTCTAGGCATGTGGACACAGCTCTGGATGTCAACTGTCTATAAAGTGGAAGTGGTGCACAGAGCAGGGGCTATTCCAACAGTCCCTTCCTCACCTCCATAGAAAATCTGGGACCACTAAACCAGTTGTGTGAGCAGAGATAGGCAAAAGCCTTCTGAAGCCCACAGTCCCCCAATCTTGGATACTAAGTGCCTCTTGCATTCTTCCACAGGCACCAGGTACTAGCAGCATGGAGCTAAAGAGGGGAAAGACTTTCATCAAATCCAGCCTGCAGATTTCCCATGAGAAGTCCTCAGATTCAGCAGCTGCTGCTCCAGGCAGGGAGGATGCAGGCCCCTGGTCAGTCTCACTGGGAGGGCAGCAGAGGCTCCATGGTGAGAAGGACTCCCAGGCCAGTACTAGTCCCCAAGGCCATGACAGATGCTCCAACAAGGGGGTTCACCCCAACCCTGATGGGGGTTCCGTGGCCCTCTCTGAAGCCACCTTCAAACTGGTTCGGAAGAGCGAGACTCATGACAGTGTTCCAGGAGCTAGCAGGATATTTACCACCACAGGGCAGCTGGCGGGCAGCACGAGCTTCCCAGGGCCTCCCAGTGCCCAACACATGATCGACTACCGCCACTTTGTGCCCCAGGTGCCCTTTGTGCCAGCTGTGGCCAAGAGCATCCCAAGGAAGAGGATTTCCCTGAAAAGACCCAAAAAGTGTTTCCGGAACCTATTCCACATCCGCAGAAACAAGACAGAGAATTTGGCCACCCTGGCAGGCAAGAGGAAGAGCCTATCCTCCCCTGGAGGACCATCAGTTGCTGCAGGACAAGACAAAGCCTTCTTCTCCCTGGGGGATGGCCTGCGGAAGGACAGCCTGGGCCAGGACCTGTCTGACAGTGAGCTCCTGCCCGACTCTCTTGACTTTTGCCATGTCTTGTGTGAGGACGTGGCCTCCCTCAAGAGCTTCGACTCACTTACAGGCTGCGGAGAGATCTTTGCAGATGAGAGCTCAGCGCCATCCCTAGAACTTAGTGACAGCCCCAAGAGCCCAGCCCGGGTGTCTCAGGCCCTGGAGAGCAAGGCTTCTAGGGACCCCTCTCAGGGCAGCGTGGAGCAGCTGGCATCGCCCACCCAGAATGAGGTTTCTGATTTCACTAAATTCTGGGACAGTGTGAATCGCTCAGTGCGGCAGCAGCAATGTGCCCTGCTGGGCCCATGGCTGGCAGGCCCTCAGGGGACAGACACAGCCCAGCCCAGACCTGACACAGCTGGGCTGGCTGAGCTGCCCTTGTTCCCCTGCAGGGGCCCTCCCAGTGGCTCCAAGGCCAGCTCCATAGACACAGGCACTCCCAAAAGTGAGCAACCAGAATCTGTGTCCACAAGTGATGAGGGCTACTATGACTCCTTCTCACCAGGCCTGGAGGAGGACAAGAAGGAGCTCCCAAGCCCTAGCACACCTGCAGCTGCCTTTCCCAGGGACAGCTACAGTGGGGATGCCCTTTATGAGCTGTTCTATGACTCCAGTGAGGGCCCTGTTGGCCTGACCCTGGATGATGACCTCTGTGTGTCTGAGAGTCTGTCAGGGCCGGCCCTGGGGACACCACTATCCATGTGCAGCTTCCATGTGGGGGCTGAGGAGAACCTGGCCCCAGCACCAGGCCCTGATCTGCTCAGCCAGAGCTTCCTACAGAGCTCCTGGAAGGGCAAGGAGTGCCTGCTGAAGCTCTGTGACACAGAACTGGCTATCACCATGGGCATTGTCAACTGGCTCCGCCGTACCCCACCTGCCACCACCCCTGTCCCTGGGGAGCCTAAAGATCCATTTGGCCCTCAAAGAGGCCCCTGGGGACAAGAGGAGAAACTAGAGGGCAAGAGTGGCCAGGTCCCAGTTGCACAGACTACAGTGTGCTCGGCACCCAGCAGGAAGGAGCTGCGGGCACAGCTGGGCACCCCAGGCCTGCTTGCTGGAGAGAGTGAGGTCCCAGAGAGGACTGCAAAGGGGACCATGACCTCATCCCAGGGTTCCCCACTGGAGGAAGGGACACGAGGCCACTCTGTGGGCTCACTCTCCTCTGTGGAGTCTGCAGCCACTGCAGCAACAGATACTTCTAGGAAAAGCAAGGCTCCAAGCCCACTTGCCTGGCCCAATTCACAGAAGGGAATGGGGCCACCTAGAGACCTGAGGCATTGCCAAGGGCCCTGGAAGCCCGGTTATGGGGGGAGGACTCTAGAGGCAGGGCCTGCACTGGCAGGCTGTTTGGCCCATGTGGCAGCCCTGCAGATCCACTCGGATGGCCCACCTCCAAGGCAGAACACAGGTAGTGGGCTCTTTAGGAAGCCTCAGGCTTGGATCCCTGACTTTCTGCAGCAGAAACAGACTAGCAGCTCCCCTAGTGGGGTCACTGTCTGTTGCCTGCCCTCCTTGGCCAGATCACAAGACCAGAAGCATCCGGACCTCATCTTAAACCTGAGCCAACTCAGGTTGGACCCCACCAGGCTTGGTGCCCAGGCCTATGCCTCCATGGAGGACCTGAACATGCAGCTCAGCCCCAAGGCTGCAGAGCAGGCAGCACACAGGGGTTGTCTGGACTGTGGGCCTCCCTCAGCCCCTGGTGCCCAGCGGAGCCCCCAAAGCTACTCTCCAGAAATCCTGAGCCTCACTCTGGATGGCCAGCGGTAGAGGGTTCCTCTACAAGTGTCCCAAAATGCTGCTGCAGATTCCTGGCCTGGCTAGCTGGAATTGGAGGCCCCAGGCCAGACATGGCCAAGCCTAACCCATAGGACAGGATCACTCTCACCATAAACTGCATCTTTATGACCATATTCAGGAGATCCTAGGACCCAAATCTTCCTGTTTTTCTCTTGATATAAGGACTGTGTGGGGTGAAATGGGGGCAGGACTCAGGCAAGCAGAAGGTGGGACATTTCCACATGGAGGCACCCTCAGCTGAACTCAAGGCCAAGGACAGCACAGAGCTGTAAACACCTCACTGTTCCTCATGCAGCATGCCAGAGAGGAGCTCAGGTCTGAGATGGATGGAAAGGAAATGGTCCACATTGTAAATGAGAGGGTGAGAGAGTTGATTTGTTGGCTTGGATTGTGTGAGAAGGGTGAAGTACAAGGCTCAGGGTAGGAGACAGATGGGATGAGTTCAAGAGGGCCTGCTGGCCTGCCCCATGAACTCTCTTCCCAGTCCCTGGGAACACAATACAAAACCAGCCCCATCTCAACAGAAGCCTCAAACCAGCCAGCATCATGCATTACTCTTCAACCCTGCCAGGGCTGGCCAGACCCTGCCAACTTCTGTTGATGGGTTTTGTGGAATTCTCTGTCACAAATCATCCTGTGCAAGCAATGATTTTCCTCCACTTGCATTCTCTAATTGAAGCCATGGATGGAAGAACAGTCTTTGAGAAGAACCCCATTAATTCTTCCCACTCTGCCATTCTGCCTTCAAGTGACAAAAGTGACTCCACCTCCTCCACACTGTTAGTATCTCCATCCCTTCTTCAGGAAAACTCACTTTGAATAGGGTTGTACACTCCCCAAAGCTGTAACAGATGGACAGCACCTAATTTTAAGAACTTTAAGGGGAGAAGGCAGCTTGTGTCCCCAGAAAGGGCAGGTGTCCTTTCTGGCCCAGCACCAGAGCAGCAGGTGCAGGGACAGATGGCCCATCCCCTTCCTCTATGATTAGAGTCTACCTCAGCCAAACAATGCCATAGGAGGCAAAGGGTAGGATGCTACAGGTACATGTGAAATTTGTTTCTAGAAGAAAGGGGGTAGGTTGGGTCACAGGAAAACTACCAGAGAAATCACATTTCATGCAGAGCTCCCAAAGGGACGGAAGGGAGGTGCATCAGTTCTGCCAGGGGAAGAGGGCAGGGGAGGAATTTCAGTCCAGGCTACAGTCTCACAAGGTGGCAAGGATCAGTGCCTCTCATGGTGCTGACATTTGACTTCAGGCTAGAAATGCTCCTGTGGCCATCATCCACAGCAGTGCTGAAGCCAGCAGTGTGCAAGATACAGGCTGCACATCATAGATGCAAAGAGTATGACAAGGTTCCAGACCAGTCCCTTCAGATCTGGGAAACGGAGAAGTCTTAGCACCAGCTCTTCTGTGAAGCCACTTCTGATTCCTTCCCCCAGGACTGCCCCACACGCAATCACAACCACATTACTGAGCTTAGCTGTGAGCAGGTCACACGTGGATCAGCCTGCCCAACCCTCACATCAACTTAAATGCTTTTCTTATCCCCACTTTTCAGACCTAGAAACCAAGATGTGGATGGCCCATGGCCAGTGTGTGTGGTTGGCAAGGTTTGAATCTCACCTTCAGCTTCAAAGCTCCTGGTCTTCAGCAGGCTCTGGAACTTCTCCCCGAGTTCTCATAGCAAATGCTTCCCTTGGATCCTTCTTCCTGTTTTTTCTTCCAGACTGAAGATCTGAGCCCCCTAGGGTGCTAGCTGCATGTCTTTTTGTGAGCAGGCTGAGAGCCTAGGGGGAGTTCACTCGCCCTTAGTCATGGACCTGTGGCTTTGTACTATACCTGACAGAGTAAGTACTCAGTAAATACTTATTGAAACAATGAAGTGTTGAAGAATGGTTTTCTGATTTCTTCTTGACTATAAGCCTTGTGCCTGGAGAAAAACAATAGAGATTTAAATCCAACTCCGCTTGACAACTAAATGCCTCTCCCACAGCAGGGGACAGTGTCCTTAGCATGCCTTCACGGCAGTGGGGTAGAACCCATCCAGGCCCAAGACCAAAAGGACAGGAACTGAGGTGGCACAGGCTGGACAGGAAGCCTGGGGTCAGGAGATGCTGGTGGGTGCCCAGCACCCAGGGCCATGACAAGGTGTGATCTGCAGTGCCCTAGCAGCCGGACAATGGAAACACAGAACCGGGGCCATGCCAACAGGAGAGGAATTGCAGGCCAGGTGGCCTAGGGAACCTAGGGGACACTTTAAACAAACCCCAAACCCCAGATATTCCTCTTCTCTGGGTGAGGGTCCTAGGCAGCTCTCTAGGCAAATGGAGGAGGGTGGTATGATCTTCCTCAGGTGATTTCTCTCTCCACAGCCCGCTACTCAGGCTCCCCTCCCCAGTGAGAGGGCCCCAGCCAGTGCCAGTCTAGCCAGGCTCCAGAGGCCTCAAGGTGGCACACTGAGAAGAAAGAGAGGACTTCTGGTCCAGCTGAGGATTTTAGTCCAGCTCTAAGAGCAGAAGAGGCCTCATCTGGAATTTTGGAAATGCTGGTTACTTCTAACCATCTTGGAAACATAAGCTTCTCCATGTGAACTAAAGCCCTGAGAAGTAGGTCCAACTGTCCCATGGAGCCCCAGGGTCTCATGCAGGGTGCCACAGTGGCAGTGGTGAGGGTGGCAGAGTAGCCCAGGGCCAAAGAGCTGCGAAGCTGGATATACTAGGGAGGCCAGGAGCACCAGTGAGTGAGAGGCAGGGTCGCCCTGAGACTAGGCTGGAGAGATGGGGTAGGGGGGAGCTGGCAAGAAGGCAAAAGCCTTGAAAGGGAGAAAGACCTTGGGCCAGGATGGGCTGAGAAGAACCTGCAGACTGTCATGAAAGGCTTCTCATCTTTCCTGGCTTCCTATTTCATTTTATTTTCTGTAATGGCAATAAATTCATGGGATAAAAAGTTAAAAGCCCCAGGAAAAAAAATGGTGAAAATCAAATTTCCATTCTTCCTCCTTCACCCCTCTGTTGTTACAAAATTTATTCACACTTACTACAACCAATCCAAACAGCATGAAACAGCATCTCCTTCTTCTCCTCCTCACACTTGGATCTGGATTCTCACACCCTTTCTAGGTCCTTTCAGTCCTTTTTTCCTGCCAAATTTTCCTTCTCATATTAGCCACCCCCTTCCTCTGAACAAGAGACAAAATCCAGTAGGTAGTAATTAATCTAAATAGACTCCAGTTATTGGATATTCAAGTTCTTCCTATTTCTGTTGTTACAAACAGTGCTGTACTCCTTTATTCTCCTAAATGTTTTCTATTAAAGTCCTCTTTAAAATTGTGAAAACAAAACTTACCTTAACAATTAAAAGATGTATTTTTAATTACCAATGTTTTCTCCTTCCATGACCCACTCCACTGCTCAATTCTTTTTGATATTTAACCTGGGGTCTTCTGGCCCAATGGGAGTAGAAACAAGACCATGTCAAGGACTGTGAGCAAGCATATAGGCAGAGCTTTGTTGGAAAGGTTTTGCCTCCAGGAGAGGAGGCCAACAGAGAGAAAGTCAGGCTGGCCTCTTAACAAAGAAGAAGTGGGCTGTCTAAAAGGGGTGACTTTGGTGGGCTAATGTCCAGAAATTGTCACTGGCCCTGGGCAGTTTCAAAGGTGTTTTCTTGTGCAAACATCTCAGCCTTGAGAAATGGATGGTCAATTTATCACAGGATTTATTGTATTTGTTCCATCAATGACCCCCATCCTGCACAAATATCATGGCCCTGTGATAAAGACAGGCCACTACAATTGCACAGGGAACACATAGGTGGTGGCAGTCATGGTGCTAGTGGTAATGGTGATGGTATGGGGTGGAAGAACAAACAAAGTGTGCTTTTAGCAAGTAACAGGGTAAGGCCCCAGGATTCATTTTTTCCCTGTCTCTCTGCAGTGACCCCATCTAGTTCATTCTTGAACATGCCATGGCAAAGGCATCTTAGCTTTATGATGCACCTGGTTTTGAGGTTGATAAGATGTTTCAAAGAATGAGGCATGGAAAAGAACACACATCATGCTTTCAATGGGTCACGGCCCTGAGTTAATGCCCAGGAGGACACCTGCTCTTTGTCCTCCTGATGGTCCCTAACCGTCTCATGTGGAGGTCCTGATGTTGACACCTGGACTCCATGTACACAAAAATATGTTACACATCTTATCATTGAGAGGTAAGTGGTTGCTCTTTGTTAATACATGTGAAGACTTTGGAATGCATCATCCCATCCTTTGACAAGAAAAAGTGGGACAAACAAAATCAGTGACTTTGCTTGACCCATCAGATAATTGGGGTCCTGGGTTTATGGGCCTCCTATAAACCCAGAGAGACAGAAACACCTGGACAAATGCAAGAACCAAGATCTGTGCCTGGTGCAGAAGTCTAAAGATGCCAAGAGCTGGTGGGAACACTCAAATAAAAATCCTGACAAGCTGTTGCCTGCTGTAGAGGGGAAGGTTGGCCAGTCTTGGTGGCTTTTCAGGTTGGGGATCACAGAAAGATCTCTTTGCTCTACAGTGGGGAAGGGCACTGTGAAACCCTCTAACCTTTGTCCCTAACAGAGGCCTCTCATCCAGAGAAAGGCTTCCCAGGAGTTCTTCTGAAATCTTCTTCATGCTGAAAGAAAGGACCTAACCCCACCTCCAGTCTTCCTAGCATTCCTGTCTTACCTAAGGAAAAATAGATAAAGGGGTAGTCTGAAAGGAGAGAACAAAATGAACAGACACTGGACACGCTGATCCAGGAGGGACCAGGGTCACTCAGGTGCTCCAGGGACAGCTCATAGAGACTAAGGCCCATTTGGAAGACTGGGGAATATCCCTCCCCTTCCCACCTTGGCCACAACTGCTACCACCACAGCAACAAAGTCCGGTAATGAGAACAGTGGATTCTAGCTTTAAAAAGCCACATGACCCAAGCTCTGGGGGCCAGAACACAGGAAGCCAGGAAAGACTGGAGGAAAGAGTAAATACACTTCAGGTATTAGAATCCAGGTGCCTGGAGCTATGACAAATATTAAAAGAGCATCCTTACACAGAAAACCCATTAATAGGGCTGGGATCTAGCTCAGTGGCTGAGTGCTTTCCTACCATGTGCCAAGCCCTGCAGTCCATCCCCAGAACCAACAAAGCCCACTGACTGCAGTACCTATAACTCTATTTTGTCTGGCTTTAGACAAAAAATTCCAAGGTGCTCTTTCAAAGGATGAAATTATGATAGTTGAGTTTATCAATCTTAATTGTTCCTATTTCTGTTTCAGAATCAGGTAACATGATTTCATAAAATAGAGTAAGTGTTCCAGTGATGTGAATAGAAGATGAGCATTTTATAGACAGAGAAAGGCTAAGAAACCAGAAACAACATAAAGGAGATCAGTCAGTTCAAAGTTACTTTCCTTGAAAGGCAGGGACATGGAAACAGAACAGTAGAAAAATAATTCATTGATCAACATCAGGTTATTTCAGGATACTTCTTTGTGATAGGATTGAAGCAGAGGGAACTTCATTATTAAGTCCACTAAAACTAGCCTGTTTAGAAAATGTGGCATTTTCTTTTTCTCCTGATTTCCCCAAAGGTCAGATAGCAGATTCATTTCTATTTAGTGACATGGAGCATTAGCCTCCATTTTGATTCTTAGTCTGGTTTGTTGGACCTTACTCAAAATAATAATCTCCTATAATATTTACTTAACACAGCTAAGAGCAAAAGCGAACAAAGTCTGAAGAGAGAGTAATCATCAGAACTGGACACATATATGAAAAAGATATTGCAGTTATCAGACAAGGAGTATAAAACAGCTATGATTAACACTGGAAAAGGTAGACAACATTCAAGAACAGATGAGTAATGTAAATTGATAAGATTCTAAGAAAAAAATAAGAAAATGTTAAAAGTAAAAAACACTGTCTCAGAAATTAAAAATGGACGGACTCATTAATAGACTCAACATATGTGCATAAGTAGCCAGTGAGTTGCATCAGGAAATCATTTGAGACAAATGAAAGTGAAAACACAGCATACCCAAACTTGGGGGAGGGGCAGAAAAAGCAATGCTAAGCAAGAAATTGTAGTTGTAATGCACCCATTGAAAAATAAAACGGCAAATCAATAACCCAAATTTATACCTTAAGAAACCAGAAAAAGAAGAGAAAGCTCACCCAAATTCAGCTTGAGGAAATAAATAATAAAAATTAGAGTGAAGGGAAATAAAACATAGAATAAAAAAAGCAACAATATTAAAAGTTGATATTTTGGGCTGGGGATTTAGCTCAATGGTTCAGGCGCCTGCCGTGTGATAGGTCTCCCACTACCTCAGCAACTATTATGTATAGTAGCTGCCCTCTTCCTATCGTGCCTTGCCCCCTCCCCTGTGTGATGTCATGCCAAGATGGTTGCTCCCACCAAAGAATAAACCCTTCTTCTCAGCATGCCCCTGTTCCCGCCTAGAAAGTAACTAATACTCGCTCACCTCCTACCATCTAGTGACATCACCGGCTCCTCCATTCCCTAGTCACTACCTCACTCAACCCCACCTCAGCTCTTACAAACCCCACCCCAGTCTCTATAAAAGACTCTCCCTGCCCCAGCCATATTGCTTTTAGTCTTTCCTTTGTTCAGAGACAGCCAGGCAGATCTATTCCTCTAATAAAGGCTTGTTGCGGCCTGGTCTGGTCTTGGTCTTCGGCCTTTTACCTGACACCGCGCAAGCACAAGGTCTCAAGTTCCATCCCCAGTACCAAAAAAAAAGTTGATATTTTGAAAAGATCAACTAAATTGACAAATCTTTAACTAGATTGAGGATAAAGAGAGAAGATTCAAATTACTAAAATTACAAATGAAACTAGTGCCATTAATACCAGTTTTACAGAAATAAAAAGGATTATAAGAGAATTCTTGGAACATTTGTATGCTAATAAATTGGATAACCTACATGAAATGGACAAGTTCTAGAACACGTATCTGCCAAAATGAGTCATGATAAAATAGTAAATCTGAGTAGACCTATTCTGAAGATAGTTGGGAAACTGCATCAGTAATCCAGTCTCTCAACAAAGAAAAGCCCAGGAAAACATATCTACACAGGTGAATTCCATCAAATATTTATGAAGATTCAATGGCAATTCTCATATTTTTCCAGAAAAGAAAAAGAAGAGGCAGGAACACTTCCTAATTCATTCCATGAGGCCAGCAGTGATATCAAAGCCAGATAAAAGACAATACAAGAAATCACACACAGTATCCCACCAATACATATGCAAAAATCCCCATCAAAATGCCAGCAAACTGAATTCAACTTCATATTAAAAGTTTTACACAGCAAGTCCAAGTGAGTTTTCACCCTAAAGTGCAGAGATAGTTCAACATTCTAAAACAAAACTGTGTAATACAGCATGTTAAAAGGACAAAGGAGAAAACCACATAATTATCTCAATTAATGCAGAAACATTTGACAAAATCCAACACCTTGATAAAAATACAATTAAAATGATAAGGGAAATACCAACCGACTGAGACTCTTGTGATTATTTATTTGTAACTCAAAGACATCAGAATGAAGACATAGAAGAAAAGCATTTCGTAGAATATTGCATAGGAGTTTTTGTCAGGGGTCAGGGCCGGAATGGGATGGTTTGTTACATGACACATGTCTACCTAGTTTAAACAGTCTTATCAGGGCAGAGGGAACACATTAGCCAAGGCAAACATCCCTGACAGCAACTTGCTCTTCATTTTGCTGACTTCATCCTGCAGAGTCTGCTCTAATCTCTCTCTACCCATGAGTTCCAGGAGCCCTAGTGTCACGGGAAATATGAAATATGAAATATTATATCTCCCAACCTGTTAACTGTATGATACACCGAGTTCTTGTTCTCTAGAAATCAAAGAATGAGTCCTAGGAATGATGGAGGTTAAAAGTAGGAAGATATTTATTGATAGGAAAGCTCTTGAGGGGCAGGAAGGGTCCCTAGTAGGTAGCCCAGGACCCCACTTTACAGAGAAGTCCTCTAGGGTGAAACCCAAGTGGGTACAGTGTGGGCCACAGCCATGAATATCCAGTAAGGATACAAGTATTGGCACTTAGGTAATGGTGGTCCAATTGGGAAGCAAGTCATGTACCAAGCATGGATGGAAAGAACAAGGATTCTCCTAGGAGGTGGTGGGTCCAGAGGTCTCTGATCACCCCCAGGATGGTTGATGCCTATCTATACTTCACAAAGCCCAGTTCTTTGAAGAAGTATGTGGGACTGGTCATCTTGTCTCCATCTTGAGGCATTGGTATCGGCTGATGTGGGGCTGTGGTGTTTCACCTTTGTCCTAGCCCTCTTGAGGACTTAGCCC